CGGTACTAAATGCGCTGTGACAGGCAACTCTTGGCGCTTGATCTGGTGCATGGCTGGGCTTTAATATGGCACCAGTGGTTGGAACCCAATGGCAGGTCATGGCTGTGGTATTTCCACCGTTGCTGAGCGCATAATAGCAATAGGAGTATGGTACGAACATAATGAGGTGAGCACTGGAGCATTGTGTGAGATAACTTGCTACAGCTCATGAGAAACCCTCCACCAAACTTCCCAAAATTGATACTTGGCTAATTTTTTGATAAAATTCAGCTCGGTGAAACCAAAAAATTGGCATGGGTGTGCTCTTCAAATTTATATTTTACTTGTAAATATTTCATATTTACATTACTTTCACTTCATTAATGAGTGTATTGTAATTATTTATTGAGACTAGCTTAGTCAGAGATCTGAGTGTACTGGCTCACCTCTTGGTTGGTTACACTAGACTTAAGCACGTTTCCTTTTGTTCTTGTCAGTGTCCAGTGTCCTGCACACCTTCTGTGTGACGTGGCTGAACTTGCAGGGTCAGCTAGCCCATCATTCAATGCGTTGTAAAGGTCATTGTCCAACATCACTCTCAGCAAGCAGCAATTAAAATGTTGTATGTAATCTGAAAGCCTCAAAAGGACTCTGCCAGCCATTACCCTGCATTAAATATTCGTTTCAACAGCGCTGACATCATTCTTTCAGTCCCGTATTTTCTTATTTGATTTACTGTCCCCACGTTACCCAGACCCTTCCAACTTTACTCCTTGATGCCCTGGCCCAAGCCCTTTGTCCCTCCTGGATCCTTTTCCACTGCTCCTTGCCCCAGACTCCACTACACACCATGCCCTCTAATGCCACCACTGACTCACCTTTGCAGGTCCTACACCTCCATTCAAGCTGCCATTCTCCATCTCCCCTCCATTGTGCTGTACATTTAAAGAAGGAAAACTGCTTATTTACACACAACTGCACAAACCTGACTGTTGCAGGTCACCTTTAAATAATCATGTTATGAGATTTTCGTGCGACACTGAAGGATGTAATTAAAAGAAAATCTTACGTTAATAAGTACTTATAGCAGGCAAATGTATTACCAGAGTTAACCTGGTACAGCTCTGTGTAACTTTTGATACATCATAAATAGACCATTCACTTTATCAGTCAAATCCTGTCCAATTATGTCATCCCACAAGCCACATTTCTTGCTCTTGACGGCTCCACAAAATCTCCCGAAATGAGTGGCTCTAGAACTTATATTTTTGTGACTGGGTTTTGCAGTAATAAATGTTTGCAGTGTTTCAAATCTGTGTGAAAGGTATTGTATTAGCAGAGGGACCATCAGCAGCTGTTACTTATTGTAGGTTTAAAATATATACTTTGGAACTGACTTGAAACTTAAAGGTTATGAGTAAAACAAGTGATTTATCAAAATACAGAAATCACTGCTTCTTTTAGAACACACTATGATAACTTTTTATTTTCCTTAAGTAGTACTATTTTGAAAAAAAGGTCCAAGACCACTTAAAATACTTTGCCGAGAAAATTTGCATATAAGACATTAAATAGAATGTCTCCAGTGAGACAGCAAAGTTCAGTCAGAATTTCTGGCTTGCAATATTTAGGCTAGAGCAGTGTGTGCCTGCCTTGCCCCACTCAACAAAACAGCAAGGATTTATTGTTCTGGAAGAACTTCCTATTACAGAATTCACTTGTTTTTGATATTCATTGAAGTGCATAGTGTCCTGTAAGTTGATTAAGATATGCCATGAGGGTTCTTACAGGCAGACACATGCCGGGTGCCAATGTCTGGCATCATAGGATGCATGTAGCTAGTACCCATGGACTGTGCCTTGAGATTTTGGTGTTTGATGCCCAAAATGGAGCTCCTTTGCAGCAAACAACAAGCTGAAGTCGCCAATTACCCTCTCTAATTTCCATGTCGAGAATACTCATGCAGCTTGTTAGTCACACCTGGTAAAATGAGTATTAAATGAAGTGAGTTGCCATGTTAATAAGCCATTTATCAAGCAATAATCCCCCTTAATTGGCAACACGTTTTTGCCAAATGAGGAACTCCTGTCATCATTCTGGAAATGCATAAAAGATGAGGTGGGATGCTCCCAACATCGAGATAGGTCTTGGCAGACTTCTCACCCAATTCTGCCACAAATTTTGCCATAGCCCATTTTGCTGAGGAACCCATAGGATTCTGCTTATGATTTCTGCTTCCGTGTTACCAGTAATCATTTTTATTCATCCTTGGCTTAATTGTATCCATCTGTCCTGCAACAGTCCTTATTACTTTAAGAGTATCGCTGGTGGATCATTTTTACACCATAATGTCACTATTTAATTTATACTGTAAATGTTCCCAACGAATTCTGCTCCTTCCCAAAGCATGAAAATAATCCACTGGGAGATGGTCCTCATTTCCTGTTTTAGTTTTAATCCATTGTTCTTTTGAGTTTTTCTATTGAATCTACATTTCCCACCTTTTCAGGCAGCACATTCCAGGTCACAACTCACCATGTTTTTAAAAAAGTATCATCACATCACTTTCTGTTCTTTTGCTGGTCACTTTAAATCTGTGTCTTCTGATTACCAACCTTTCCACCAGTGAAAATAGTCTAGGAACTGGATTGGACCATTCAGTCTCTTGAGCCTGGTCTTGAGCTTCTAACAAAACTATTGTGACTTTGAAATCTGTCAGTCTCCTTTTAGCTCTTTCTCTGTTCTAAAAAGTACAATTCCAGCTTCTCTAGTCTTTCCATATCTGTTAAACCTGTTATAAAAAATGAAAGTCGTTATTATGCTGTTACGTGCCCTGCCAACAGGAAAGCTTGCATGAAAAACTCCACGTCGTAACAAGCCGATAGCTCTATCAGAATCTGCAGTTTGAAGTCTCTCTGACGAGACTCCCAGACAATGTTAGTTACCATTACCATAATGACAATACTTGGTTTGCTAAATGTATAGTTCTGACCTTCTGGTGCAAAGACATTTCTGTCTGACAATTATTTATTTATCTTTTCTATACCTGTAAAGTTTCAAATAGGTGTCTTTTATTATGTGCTCGAATCTCTGGAGTGAGACTTGAACCTACAATCTTCTGACTTGGAGACAAATTTGTAACTGAGTTAACACCCAAACCCTTCCTTCAAATGCTTCAACATCAGACAATTTATGCAGATCTTTATTCTTCTGTTATATGCAAATGTTCCAGAAAATAGATGCCCCATAATTTCTATCCAATTATTTTCATCTTGGTTGTTTTATTTTTAAATTAATTTTATTTAGATGACTTTTCAATTTGCTTTTTTCTTCAAAGGAGGACCATGGATCCTCTTCTAATGTGGCATTGCTTTCCTTTGTTAGTGAAGCTTTCCAAGGCCTAGGAGAGTGGGACTGATCCAGAGAATCTTTGTTGTTCCTTTGTTTACATTTATCTGAAGCTTATTCTGATGGTGCGGCCCCTTAAACATTTATAATGTCCTTTTAATTTACCTGGTTCAAGTTTAAACATTATGCTGTTCCAGGATTTTGGTGTGAGAATCTATCCTGGTGGATTAATATAACTTACATTTAATTTTTTTTTGGTCTGTTTACAATTTTCATAAATTCCAAAGAAGTTTGTGATCTCCTTAATCTGCCTCTGCCAGTATTGAATTATTTGACATCTATTGGCTCAATGCCTGCAAGTATTTTTGAAAAAGTTCAGATAATTGCTTTCAGATCCCAACCCAAAAGACAATAGGCACAGTAGTAGAAGTGGACTGAGCCAGGACATTATGCAATTAGAATTACCTTATTGAGAAATCAATTGGAAAATAAAATTGAAAAACTCAAAATCTGGATTGCTTCAGATCTAAACTTTTACAGTGAGAAATGTTATTTCTAATTGTCATATTCCACAAAATTTTCTGTGTAGAGATAATTAGAACTTAAATGTTTTCTACAGTCTATCTAAGATTTCAGCATATTCTGCTATCTGCAGCTGAGTCCCAGGACAATAAGGCAGAATCAATCTGAAATATTAACATACCAGGAAAATATTGAAAATAAGTTAAGGTGGCCCTGTTGCTTTTACCCAAAGCTAAAAATAACACAGACCCATGATTGTTTTGCAAATAGCATCACAAAATATTCATTTGTGTGCTTTACTTTCAAAAGACTTTTTTCGCTTTTGTGTAAAAGCAATAACATCCAGATAATATTAAATGACCAACTTCACAATAACACATATGAATGTGTTATTTGAATTCCTTCCAATTAATCTATGCTATCTTCTAAAAATTTGACTTATACTGCAGCTCCAGAAGGCATTTGGAGCATTGCTACTTGGGCCTAGACTGTGAATGTTGTGAAGTTTTTTTGACCATGGCAGACGTCAAAGCCAAGACGACCTTTGCTTTTCTACATAATGCACAGTTGTTATTTCAGAATCCCAGCCCAAATGTATAATTTCATTCAAAAGCTACTACATTCCAGATGCTGGAAATCTGAAATGCAGGCAGAAAATGTTCAAAATACTCAGTAGATCAGACACTTTGGTAATTAACTTTTTAAAACAATAGTATAGTAATTTCATGCTGCAATTATAGATTCACTGTTATAACTCCCTTAACTAGTGCAGGTGTAGATTTCACCAGCCTCCTATGTGCTGAAACATCTCGTAGTCTACTGTTTGCTAATGTATGCTTGCAGCATGAGAGCTACCTGATGACAACTCAGAAAGTTAAGTAATCTTAAAAATGTCTGCTCATTCTGGAAGTGATTTTATTGAATTTCAAAGCACTTGGCAAACACTAGTTCAATGTGTCAAAACATCTCATATGATAGTATTTCTTTCCGCTCATTTACTGTAATGAATATATTTATGTCGTTATGGTCCACTATTTTGTAATTGTGTTCTCTTTTTATACTGACAGTGTTGTAAATTGTAATCAATTTAAATATATTGATATTGTGTGCCTCAGGTTTTTGTACTAATTTAGATCCATTCATCTTTACAGACAAGTCAAACATCTGGCACAGAAAGCGGATCATAAACAGACTAGCTCAGGCACCACAGCTCAGGACTGCAAGGATTCAAAGGCTGTCGTCAAGGAGCCTGTAGCACCCACGGCTGCCACTGTGTCCTTATAAACCTGTCAACACGCGATAGGGTGTATGTGTATGAAGAAATGACCAATACCATTATATGAATTTATGTGAAGACAACACTAACAGATTGCAAGTGAAAAAAAATGCATGGTGCAATTAATTTGCAAGGGAAATGAGCAGACTGTATCGATTCCCTTTTGCAATGAAAAATAAATACTTGTGTTGGTTGCCTGTTAGCAGTAGATTTGCGCTCATCCTCTGAGCTCATATATCAATTTTTAGTGGAAAGTGATTTTTTAAAAAAGTTGATAAGATAAATATACTTCAGCACCATTGGCTATAAATACTTCACCATTGTTTCAGTAACAACCAATTTTTCTTACTGTAGCTTGAGTTTCAGCTTTTTATGATGCTTGAGTAAAGTTAACCAATGGCAGTGCCGTGAGAGTTGTAGTTGTTGTCTTCATATATAGTCATTTAGCTTATCTTTTTATGCTGATATAAGCATTTGTCATACTATATGCATATATATGATAAAGATATACAGACTGCTACTCAAGAGTTGTATGCAAAGGTAAAAACGGAATCATAAAGAAAAATGCTTATTGATACATGAACTGATGTTAGCACTGATCAGTAGAGGTTATAAGATTATACTCCAGGAAAGCAGTTATGGTGTTTGATTTTCATTACTGTTACAGAGGTTTAAGGTGTCTTACCTAGCAGTAACATTTTGTATCCTTTGCTCATCTGTTCTGTGAAGCACATCTACACCCATTCTGTGTGTTGTACAACCTACCATGTGCATCAACTGAGTGTTTTTAATAACTGCATTCGGACCTGGATAAACAAAGTAATCTTAGTAGAAAGGTCCACGTATACTGTAAAAAAATCTCACAGTGATATATTTAAAATATGCTGGTTATGAGTAATCTGTGATAATTGGGCAGAAGGTGTCAATCTTGGTTGAATTTTTATATGGATTAGTTTTGAATCAATGATTGGTCAAATGCAGTAAAACCACATCAGTTCATGTGTAATTTTGTCTACTGTCTTTATTTAAATACAGTTTTTTAAATGCAATATGGCTTTCTAAGGGTGTCAACCTTAAAGGTATTAACCTTGAAGATAGTAATCTTTCATACTAGATGAATGGAATTTAATCAAGGTGACGGGGATCTCACTCACCTTGGGTAAGGCCCATCATATTAAGTACCTATCACACAGCTAAGTGGCCACTATTAGGCCTTTCTTGGGATTAAGGATCACTGGGTGTAAATACTGGGCCCTGAGAGCGGCCAGCCAATCCAAAGTCAACAGCTGTCCATTTCAGGCGATGTCATTGGGAGTAGTGCTACCTTCCAGCTATTGACCCACCAGAGACCATGTTTCAAGAAGGACCGAGTTCACCCACAAGTGAGGACAGAATGGGAATTACTGGGTGGAGGTTGTAAGAGATTGAGGAAATAAGATTGGAAGTAAGGGCCGGGATTAGCTTTTAGTGGCTTTTGATCATACAGAAGCTGCTGGGTTTGCTTTTCTCGATTCTGGCAAATACCAGCGGTAGCAAAATGAGGCTGTGAAGTTGGCATTAATTGCATGCATTAGCCAACAGTAGAGTGGAATTCCTGTTCACCAATGAAGCCTATCTTGTGCCAATAATGGTGGTTTGTTCTATTTGGAACAGGTAGCCCATAGCTTATTTGAGTGATTTGGATAAATACATCCAATTCCAGTCAGAGAAGCCCACAGACATAAGAGGGGAGAACATAAGAAGTAGGAGCAGTGATAGTTCTTGTATGAAGTCATCTTATAAGAAGCCCAGAAAGCAAACACTGTTGTGTTTCCTTGCTGAGAGGGGGTGGGGAAGATCCACCACACTACATTCAAATATAGTCAATGCGTGATCAATAGACCTGACATGAGCAGACAGCCTTTCATCCTCCCTTTGCTGAAACTCTTGCTACCATCCTGTAATTCCCATCTGCTCTCACTTATTTGTAGCCTGGGTCCCTCACTGATCCTAAGTCTCTCCCTGGTTGCATTTCCACTGCTGCTCTAGGTGTTTCCTGCAATGGAGAGTTGATCATAACATGTCCAGGCATTGTACCTTTTAATCAAACAAAAGCATGGTCTCAACAGTTCCCTGGTGCATTCACCATGGCAATGTCTTGACTAATCAGCATCCTTTTTTAATACAGTATAAATTGTTGCTCCCTATGAAATTTAGTATTTTTGCATCTCCTAATTGAGTACAATGTGGAAAACTTTGACAGCATGCCTTATTTTTCAGCAACACTCAAGTTCTGTACAAGCAAGCAACTAGCAAAAACATCTTTATACTTCTATAGCCCCAAAATTCTCTCAGATATTTCCTCCCATCTCTCCCAAAGGATAAAACTACCATTTGAATAGACCAGCATGACTTTATTTGGATCCGTGGGCTTTTGGAGAGAAAAGATCAAATGACAAACTAATATTTTATGAGTTTTAAGCATCAACTTTCTCTGCAGAAAACAAAACTGAAGGAACAAGAACTTGAGTGGGTTCTGCCTGTCTCTGTCTGCCCAACTTTATGTTTCTGAATCCTATGCTGACCCTGAATACTCTAGGTGCCACAGACAGAATATTTTGATAGAACTCCACCAAGCATGACTGTATGTGATAGAACAGAAAATGATCCGTCTGTATCTTTAAACCACCTCGATGCTGGAAGCCTCAGGGCCACCAAGTGAAAGCATGACCACTGAAGCAGCCAAGTCACCAACCTCCACCAACTGTGAGCCGCTATAATTTTATTGGACTCTAACTTATTTAATGTATCCTTTACCGCCGTGTAATTTAAGAATATAAAGTAAAATAACAGATGGGTCATGCATGTGGACTAAACAGAGGTATTCCATAGAATGGTCAACAAATGTAGTGAAACAATGGCGTGACATTTGGTAGTGTGGTCCATAGGAGATGGAAAGAACTATCTAAGAACATGTTCTTGTACTTGAGCTTTTTCCAACATTTTCACCCTCTAAGATTTGACTGTTACTCCACAGCAGGTGAAGAAGTATCTGGTAAGTGTTTAATGTCTGTATTATTTTAAACCTTAGGAATAGAATGATACCAATGGTTAGGGTAATAAAATATATTTAAAAAAGGAAAATAAATAATTTTAAAAATAACTGAGTAGTTAATCAAAATACATTCAGAATGGCAGGCCAATGATATATCATGTTTGCAGGATTTCAGAGCCTCCGCATGCCAGTGTGAACCAGGGCAAACATGTCAGTGGTAAGTATTTGTGACTGGAGGAGCTGTGCATTAGAGTTTGAGGTGGATGTTGAGCTGCAGATAAATAAGGGAGTGGGAAAAATATCTGGATGCTTTGTGACAGGAGACAGTCACCCCTCCCTTTACAATAAGGTTTCTCATTTGGTCAGTGGTCAGGGATGGTTGAGTGTGACTGCAAGTGAGACATGGAGGAGAACCCAGAGGATAGGAACCCCAACCTTGCAGTTGTCCAACAAGTTTAAGGTTCTTTATGCTTATTTGGATATAAGTGAAGGCAGCAAGGTGGCTGAGCCAACTGACTAGGGCACAGGAAACCATTCAGATAGGACGAGCAAAGAGAAAAATTGTGAGGTAATAGGGGACAGTATGATAAGGGGGATTGGTGCTGTTCTCAACAGTGAGAAATGAGTGAGGCGGTGGCAAAGTGACGGTGTGATTGGACTAATAATCCATCAACCCAGGATAATATTCCGAGATATGGGTTCAAATGTCTCTGTACCAATTCTTAATAATCTAGAATTAAGAGCTAACTTCATAGCAACCATGTAACCGTTGTTGTAAAAAAGAATTTCAAGTGCCCTTAAGGGTTGGAAATCTGTTTCCTTATCTGGTCTGGCCTACAGGTGACTCCAGACCCACCGTGATGTGATTAATCGTTCACTGCCCTTCTGGAATCATGCTTGCAAGTCACTCAGTTCAAGAGACAATTAGAGATGCACAACAAAATGCTGACTTCACCAGCAATGCCCACATGAACAATACAAATGAGAAGACTGTGCTGCCTTCCCAGGTCCACGGTTTGGGATCTGTGCTTAGGGCCTGAAAGAACGTGCAGTGGGAGGGAGAGGATCGGTTGTCAAGGTTCATATAAGTACTGATGCCATAAGGAGGACAAAGAAAGACTTTGTAAGTAGTCAGTATGAGGAGCTAGGCACCAAAGCCATGAGCAAATTGACATTGAGCAAGAAAGATTAGAGAAACGTACGCATGGTTTGAAGACTGGAGTGGGAAAAGTATGGCAAGAGAGAAAAGTAGTAATATGGAAAATGATAAACAGACCAGAATAGGAAAGGATAGACAGTATGTATCTGATAGTAAATCAACAGATAAGACGAGGTTACAAAATAAAAGGATGGAATTAAAGGCTCTGTTCCTGAATGCACTTAGTATTTGGAATGAAACATTTGATTTAAAAGTACAAATAGAAATAAATTGTACGACCTGAGAGACATGACAGAGACATGGCTGCGTAATGATACAGATTGGGACTTGAGTATTGAAGGGTTATTTAGGAAGGACAGGAAGCTAAGAAAAGTTGGAATGGTAGCTCTGTTAATTGGCAATGGTATTAGTACAATCGAGAGGGATGAGCTAACTTTAGGAAACCAGGCAGGAGAAGTGGTTTGGACCAAGGTGAGAGATGATAAAGTCAAGAAGTCACTTTTAGGAGTGATGTACAGATCCTTTAATGTAAACACGTGGTAAAATGGAGTTACACAGGAAGAAATAATGGGAGCTTATCAAAAAGCTGTGGTGTGCCATAGGCATATGCTAGGACCTCAATTTTTTACAATTTATATAAAGGCGTAGTTGATAAATTTGCTGATGACAAAGATAGGTAGGAAAGTAAGTTGTGAAGAGGTCAGAAAGAAGCTGCAAACCGGTATGGAAAGGTTAAATGTGTCAGAAAATGTGAAATTGTCCATTTCAACAGGAAAATTAATAAAGAAGCATATTATTTAAATGGTAAGAGATTGCAGAACTTTGAGATGCAGATTGAATCTAAATGACTAGTGCATGAATTTAAAAAAAAGGCTATCATGCGGGTCCAATAAGTAGGAAAGCTAACTGAATACAATTGTCTATTGCAGGGGAATTGAATACAAAAGCAGGGAGATTATGCTTCATTAATAGAAGGCACTGGTATGACCTCATCTGTGTGCAGTATTAGTCTTCTAAATTATGGATTATGTAAATACATTGGAAGCAGTTGAGAAGATTGATTAGAATAGTTGTATGAACTAACAGCACAAATAGAGGTAAATGGAAATGATCTCATAACCATTTTGCAGGCATAGTTACAAGGGTATTGAATCTGGAAACTAAATATTCAGGAATATACGATTTTAGAAAGGACAGGCAGGAAGGAAAGGGTGGTTGGATGCCTTTGTTAGTACAAGGTGGAATTAGTATGTTAGGAAGAAATGTTCTTGTATCAGATGATGTAGAGTCCAGATGTGTGGTGATAAGAAATAACAAGGGGAAGACGATAGTGGTGGAAGTAGACTATAGCCCCTCCAACATAGTCATAGAGCTGTACAGCATGGAAACAGACCCTTTGGTCCAACTTGTCCATGCTGACCAGATATCCTAAAGTAATCTAGTCCCATTTGCCAGCATTTGGCCCATATCCCTCTGATCCCTTCCTATCCATATACCTATCCAGATTCCTTTTAAATGTTGTAATTGAACCAGCCTCCACCACTTCCACTGACAGCTCATTCCATGCACGCACTACCCTCTGCGTGAAAAGGTTGCCCCTCAGGCCCCTTTTAAATTTTTCCCCTCTCACCTTAACCCTATGCCCTCCAGTTTTGGACTCCCCCACCCCAGGGAAAAAACCTTGTCTATTTACCCCATCCATGCCCCTCATGATTTTATAAACCTCTATAAGATCACCCCTCAGCCTCTGATTTTCCACAGAAAATAGCCCCAGCCTATTCGGCCTCTCCCCATAGCTCAAACTCCCCAACCC